AGGTGTGTGCAGAGGGAGAGGGGGAGAGGAGGGCTTGGGGGTCAGGAGGAGGGCAAGGGTGGCCACAGAGAGAGGGCAGCAGCTGGGACAGGGTCCAGGGACCTGTGCTCGAGGGCCGAGCTGAGACTGGGGCAGCGTCCAGGTGACGTCCTCACCTTTCACCACCAGGTCCAGGTAGTCGCTGTGCTCAGACCATCGGGGGGTCTTATAATAGATGCAGCGATAAAGCCCGGCGTTGGCTTCACTTACTGAGTCGATGCGGAACCTGGCCTCGGACTCAAATGGACCAAGTCGAAACACATTGTAATTATCTTTATACTCAAGTCTATCCTCCCTCTCCAGGCGGAATGCGTAAATGCCAACTGGGCCCCGGCACTGGATGGTCACAGGCCTCCCCAGGGGGATCACGGTGCCTGGCTCAGCCGAGATGGAGGGTCTGGGCAGGGGCCCTAGGAGGGAAGCAGAGAAGGACCTCAGCGTCCACCGTAGGAAGTCACCATGCCACACGTGTCATTTTAGCGTCACACGTCAGGGATTTTAGCAATTTTGTAGAGTTGTGCAGCTACGACCACAGCCCAACCTTAGAACATCGCCAGGCCTCCTGCACCTTCTACGTGCGCGGGAATCCTCATCGGTGCAGAGTTATTTTCCCAGTTGACAATAAGGACCCTGAGACTTGCTCACAACGTGGCCTTGCTCAGGGTCACGTGGGAGGTGTCAGAGCAGCCTGGGGCCCCTCATGTCTGCCAAGGGCCCAGGGCCACTTTCCAGGGGACAGAGGGCGGGAGGAGGCACAGGACGGGGATGACAGGGTCATTCGTGAAGGACAAGGGACAGGGGAGCGAGGGCTCTGGAGATGGCTCGTGCTGGGGCCTGAAGGGCACTGGCCGGTCCCCGGGTGGGACTGAGTGTGGGACGGGGGTTGCCAGGCTCCTGTGAGGGTCCGATGGGGTGAGGGTGAAGCCCCCAGCCCTGACCCAGCCCTGATCTGCTCACAGCAGATGCCCAGCCCGTGACAGGTCCCCATTGCTAATGCAGGTCTCTGTGGAGACACCACCTCTGGGTTTTCCTCTAGTTTCTACTTTCTCTTCAGTCTAATTTGCATTTCCTTGTTATTAAAGCTCTTGAAAAACCCTGTTTATCTCAACTGGGCTTGGGGTGGAGGAGGAAGGGCGGGTTTGATGCCCTGAAACAGGAAGGTTATGTCAAAATTAGCAAAATCCCTGAGCAGGGCAGAGAGCTGGCAGGGCTTCAATTCGCTCATCCCGTCTTCATTCATTCTTTGTTATTGACAGATTAAAACTGCATATATTGAAGGTGTACAACATGATGTGTTGGTACAGATACACACTGTGGAATCGCTGAATCAAGCTAATTCATATAACCTTACTTTGCATAGTTAATTTTTGTGGTAAGAACATTTAAAATCTGCCTCTTAGCGATCTGAAAGCATACAATACATTGTGATTAACTCTAGTCCTTATGTTGCACAATCTTGAACTTACTCTCTCTGTCTAGATGAAATTTTCTATCCTTTGACCAGCATCTCCTCAAACCCACCCATTTGTTCATTTTTCTTTCTTTTAACAGTATCTCAGTTACTTATCAATCCGTTTAAAGACATTTTTCATGAGCTGCTAATTCCACAAATGTGAGAAACACACAGAGGGTGCCTGCCCTTTGGAGGTGGACGTCTTGAAGGGAGGACAGATACTGATGGGAGAATTGTCCAAATCTGCAGCTGGGAACTGCAGTTAAGTTTCCTGTGGGTAAGCGCAGGAATCTAGGGGACAGGCGGGCGGTGGAACTGACCTCCTCTGCAAAGTCAGGGGAAGCATTCTCTGAGCTGAACGCTGAGGGAGGAGTAGAAACTACCTGAACTGAGCAGACAGGTGACAGCAGGGCACTCAAAGTGGAAAAATCAGCCAGTGAGTGTTCCTCAAAGGATACAACGTTTCAGTTAGAGAGGAGAAATAACTTTGAGAGGCATCATGTACAGCACGGTGACTATAGTTAATAACAACGTATTACATTATTGGACATTGCTAATCGAGGTGATTCTAAGCGTTCTCACCACATAAAACGATTAGCACAGGAGGAATGCCCACGTTCCCCAGCTCGACATAGCCATTCCGCGCTGTGTGCAGAGGCCACAACATTACACTTGACATGACAAATACATGCAATTTTCATTGGTCAATTCTAAACTGA